GATGAGTCTCTCTTGGAAAAAGCACAGCCAGATCACTCCTTAAAGGCAAGGATGGTGAGTCTCTGTCTCACCAAAGTCTTACCATCCTTTGGACATGTTGTCAGGAGAGACTGGTCCCTAGAGAAGGACACTATGCTTGTTAAAGTCGAGGGGCAGCAAAAAAGAGAGAGGCCCTCAATGAGATGAATTGAACATTGGCAGCAACAACGGGTTCTAGAATCTAGGAACACTTGTGAGGAGGGTGGGGACGTCCCCAGGCCTGTTTCGTTCTGTGGTGCATGGGGTCCCTGTGGGTCGGAACCGATTGGATGGTAGCTAACAAAACCATACCCGTAGAGGGTGTGACTGCAGAGACCTTGCTTTGTTTTCTTGGCTAGTTAATGGTACAGTTCTAACACACAGCACTGCACCTGGAAAGCCATACCTGTTTGTGGACCCGGGTTGGTAGAAGCAAGAAGACCTGCTGTGACTTTTGGCAAAGTTTGGCTTCTGGCACTGGAGCCTGCATTTGGCTCACTGCTGCCTGTGCTTCGGATTTTGGACCGAACAATACCCACCAACTCATGAGACCTTGCCTCAAAGTTGTGAGTTTCTCTGGGATATGGTGGTGACTCACAGAACCCAGGGATGGACAGGAGGGAATACACTCAGAGGAGGTGTGGGCGGAAATGGAGCAGAAGAGCATCTTGAAAGAGTTGGACTTTGGGTGGATCATTAACCTCCAACTCCTTGCAATTATCCCTGGCATTGATTCTCGTAAGAGAAATTGTTATCACAATGCCAAAGATCATAGAAATGACACGAGTCTGGACAACATTTTGTTCTGTTACACACAAGGTCCCCGTGAGTCACAGCTAAATACACAATTAACAACAGCAATTACAGTTATAAACATCATTACTTTATGATTACAATTTTATAGACAGCAATTATAGTTATAAACATCATTCCTTTATGATTACAATTTTATAGTATTGTTTATAATATTGTTACAGGTACTGTAGTTTATGATACTGCCATTATGTTTTTGTTTATGTAATTATTTTATATATCATAATTTGCATAGCACATAAATGTTATTTAATGAGTACATAATACACGTGAGTACATAATGCACAAAATTTAATATATATTATATTTTAGACATTCTATTGTTTATAATATTGGTATGTATATTTAATTATAATATTGGTCTGGGACTGTGCCAGTATTGAATAGAAATGGATTTAAATAAGCATACTTAAAAAATTGTCATGCATATATATTTGAGGTATATTTTTCTGTTTAAGATATATATCATTCTCAGTTATCAATTATAATACTTTCATGTCAATTTTTAATAGGAATGATATCCAAATGTTTATTATAACAGATTATTTTTAAAACATAGCACAACATTAAAACCTTGTTTAATAATATACATTTGACAATTTAAGAAGAAATTGAGGACAATGTAATTCAGTAGAGGAATTAACCAATGAATATAGGAAGAAATCGCCAGAATAAGTAGCCTAACAAAATTGTGTCTATATTAAAACATTAAAAGCTTCCTTCAAATATTTGGAATAGAGAGGAAAAAGAAGAAAACTATAGCTAGTTCAATAGTAGTATGATTTGTAATACAAAATTTATGAGTACATATGCTTTACCTAAAACTCTTTTATCCCAACTCTTTTGTTCTATAATTAAGTAGAAGCCAAGAGTTAATTGCTTTATTTCATTTTTAAGTAGCAATATAGAAGTAAGTGCAGTAATGGAGGACATCTGGGTTTTTAACAAAATATTGTTGTTTCTCTTATGTTTTTTCCCCCAGAAAAATTGCTTAGAAAGAAATAAACACATGCGTATTCGATATAAACCTTCTCTTTTCCAACATGTGGGTATACATTCATCATTCCCCGGAAGAGAGCAACATTACAGAGTAAGATTTGAAATTTAACTTTAGTAATACACAATATTCCATGAAAATGCTATTTAGTAGAGAGCAGATGAGAATATGAGAGAGATGATCAAATATGGTTATTTAAGAGCAATTTATCTTATGACAGAAACCTATGCTATCAAAACCATTTCTAAATTGAGCAATCATCTTTTAAAGACACAAGTTACCTATCATGGTTAGAACAATCTAGTGCAGGAAAACTTCCTTGTTCAATTGTGCAATTCAAATAATGAGATGAAAAAAGCATTTTGAAAATCATAATAAATTTTCTTATTTTAGTCTAAGCTTTAAAATTATACAAGAATGTTATTTCCAAAACTTAATTATTGTATGAGAGAGCCTGGTCGCAGAAACCCACAGAGACAGTGCTACCCTTTCCCATGGTCCCTGAGTCAGAATGGTCTCCGTGGCAGAGTGAGGTGGCGCTGTCCAGGAAGTGTTGCACTGTAAATGCAAGGTAGTTGGTTCAAACCCACCAGATGAACTGTGGGGGAAAGGGAATAATGTCTGCTCCTGTAAAGATTTACAAAGCCCCCAAACCCAATAAAGGATTGCTATTGTTAGAAATGATAGCAGTGGGCTGGCTGGTATTACCACATTGAACTGTATTAACATTTTTACTTCAGTTCTTTTTTCCCAGGTGAAGAAAAAGTTGACACTGTTTGATTATTCATCACCCTTAATTTTTGCATTCTTTTTGGAAACAATGTTATTTCCTATTGATTTAGCATCTTAATGGCATAGAAGAAGCAAAGAACTCAGAGTCAAATGACCTAGGTTTCAGTTGTGCTGCCCTAGGGGATATACATGCACATGATATTGAACAAGCTCTAGCACTCCACCCCCCTCTAGTCTTCTTCAACTGCAAAACGAGAAGTTTAAATTAGACAATTGAGGCTTATTCACCTTGAAAATACTGTGGGCATCACTGCTCCTCTTGTTTCTGCACACCACAAAGCCACCGATTGTTTGCATCCTTTGACCGTGGCAATGAGAGTGTTTGTTGTCCAGGCGGCTCTGACTCAGAGCGACCCCATGCACAACAGAAAGAACCACTGCAGCCCTGTGCCCTCCTCACAGTCCTGGTGATGCCCAAGCCCATGCTGCAGCCACTCCTTCATCCAGCTTGTCGAGGCTCTTTCCCTTTTCTCCGCCCCTCGACTTCACCAAGCATTACGTCCTTCCCTTCTCTCCTGACAACATGGCCAGTTTGGGAAGAAGTCTTGCCGTCCTTTCCGGTCAGGAGTGAACTGGCTGTACTTCTTCCAGGAGAGATTTGTTCGTTTTGTTTGGGCACTCTGTCCGTGGTACTGTCCATACGCTTCACCAGCACCACAATTCAAATGCCTCGATTCTTCTTCAATCTTCCTTAGTCAAAGTTCAACTTTCACATGCATATGAGGCTACTAAAAATACCACGGTTTGGACAGCCACACCTTAGTCCTTAAAGTAACCTCCTGGCTTTTCAACACTTCTTCTTCTTCTTCTTTAATCATTTTATTGGGGGCTTGTACAACTCTTATCACAATCCATCCATCCATCCATCCATCCATCCATCCATCCATCCATCCATCCATTGTGTCAAGCACACTTGTACATTTGTGGCCATCATCATTTTCAAAAATTTTCTTCCTACTTGAGCCCTTGATATCAGCTTCTCATTTTTGCCGGCTCCCTCTCCTACCCTTCCACCCTCCCTCATGAACCCTTGATAATTTATAAATTATTATTTTTTCATGACTTACACTGATCAATGTCTCCCTTCACCCACTTTTCTGTTGTCCACCCCCCTGGGATGGGGTTAAAGGTAGATCATTGTGATCAGTTCCCCCTTTCCCCCCCATCTTCCCCTCCCCTCCTGGTATGGCTAATCTCAATTGGTGCTGAGGGGGTTATCTGTCCTGGATTCCCTGTGTTTCCAGCTCTTATCTGTACCCATGTACATGCTCTGGTCTAGCCAGATTTGTAAGGTAGAATTGGGGTCATGATAGTGGAGAGGGGAGTAGGAGGAAGCATTAAAGAACTTGAGGAAAGTTGTATGTTTCATCGGGGCTATTCTGCACTCTGACTGCCTCATCTCCTCCCAGCGACCCTTCTGTAAGGGAATGTCCAATTGCCTACAGATGGGCTTTGGGTCTCCACTCCATACTCCGCCTCATTCACAATTATATGATTTTTTTGTTCTGGGCTTTTAATGCCTGATACATGGTCCTATCGACACCTCATGATCACACAGCTTTTCAACACTTCTAAAGAGGTCTTGTGCAGCAGATTTACCCAGTGCAATGCACCTCTTGGCTGCTCCTTGCATGAGCCCTCATTGTGGATCCAAGCAATATGAAATCGTTGACAACTTAAATATTTTCTCCATTATCATGATGTTAACTATGGGTGCCTTTGTGAGAATTCTTGTTTTCATGACATTAAATTGCAATCCACATTGAAGGTTCCCATCCTTGATCTTTATCAGCAAGTGCTTCAAGTCCTCCTCACGTTCAGAAAAAAACCAGATGGTGTCATTTGCATATTGCTGGTTGTCAATAAGCCTTCCTCCAAACCTGATGCCGGGTTCTTTCTGATAGCTCAGCTTTCACATAATCTTCCTCTCATCGATTTATCATGATCTGCCTCCTCCATATTTTGTACTCCATCTCTCTGTCTCTACTGCACACATTGAACAATTCCTAGGGCGTGTCGTGGACGCAGTACATAGGAACATTTAGGGTAGCTTGCATTCAATATTAAAGGCATTTGTTCAATAAGATGAGGAGGTATCTGGAACAATGTAAGGAAGTTTAGCTGTCATGAATACTTGTGCAAAAAGCAGCACCCTCACAGTCGTGACAAGATACACAAAGTACCTGCTCGTACTGCGATCACAGTAGAGTCTCCCGTACAGGGCGCCAGAAAAATGCACAACCGAAAACAAATTCACAAAGGCAAGACTTACTGGTCTGACTGAACCTGGGAGAGCCCCGAAGTCCCCTCTGACCTGGAACTGAAACCATGCCTGGAGATGGAAGCACCGGCACCAGAGAGGAGAGGAGTGTCAATCTTAAACAAGATCCGAGGAACCACCTCTGCCCAAAGCCAAGACGCGGAGCCTGGGAGGGACAAGACATCAGACCAAAGGAAACGAGGAGCCCAGCGGGGAAACGGGGAGAGTGGGGACAGGTTGTGGGGACTGCAACCAAGGTCAGGACCACTTGATGAACGTCTTGCACAAACTGTCGGGCCCTCATTTCCTCGGTCAAGTTTCCCGGACAGCGCTTGTCCTAGGTTCCGGCACGACTCTGGCCGAAGCACCAGGAGCAGGGACGTGACCAAACAGACATTTATTCTTTGGGGGTGTAGGAGGCCGGAAGTGCACATCACGGCTCCCCCACTGGGGGCAGGATTTCCCTCTCTCACCCCCTGGTTGCATGGCTGTTACCTGTTGAGTTGCGACCTGAAAGGGCGGCCATTCGAGACTACCAGCCTCTCCAAAGAAAAACGATGGCCCTTTCTACTGCTATAAACTGTTAGTCTTAAACACTCACAGGGCCAGTTCTACTTTGCCCTGTAGGGTCACTATGACTCAATGGCACTGACTGGTTTTATTTTGTTTTGTTTGGCACCCGGCGCGGGGAGTGGGGGTGTTTTGTGTCGAGTCAGCTCACAGGGTAGGAGAGAGATCCTTACCTGCTTTCAGCCTCTGTAGGCCCACATTCCTCAGAGAGCTGTGTGTCTTGTATCAATGTATCAACCCAGCGAACATGGAGCCAGAGTACATAGTGCGCTCCCAGCTCGCCCTTTCTTGGTACTAGGTCGCTCTCTGCCCCAGTTTCTCTCATTTTATCTCCTGTAAGAAAAAATATGTTACAAGCTACATCCCAAAACACTCCATTTATGTCAGTCCAGAGCTGTGTTCGGATTAAGAGCGTTGCATCCAGTGCTTAATCCTTTTCATGGTTTGTCATATCAGATCCTATGATGGAAAATCATTACAGAATGCCACATTATTGACCAACCCCCAGCCCACTGCTACCCCTGTGTCAGGTTTCCCAGGCTGAAAATCTTTGCCTGAGCAGATAGCACTAGTGGCTTAAACCACTCACCTTGGGTAATCAATTTAGTACCTGGGCTCCTCACCTTATTACATCATTTCCAAACCACTGGGAATCATGGTTTAACTAAACTGACAGGTATTTTGAAGTGGACACAATGTAATGCATGACAATTGTTTTTTTCTTTTAAAGAATAGATAAAACATGTTGGTAGGTATCATTAAGTTGATTCTAATTCAGTAGCTCTCAACCTTCCTAATGCCATGACCTAATGCCACGACCCTTTAATACAGTTCCTCATGTGGTGGTGAACCCCCAAACATAAAGTTATTTTCATTGCTACTTCATATCTGTGATTTTGCCACTGTTATGAATTGGGTGACCCCTGTGAAAGGAGTCATTCAACCCTCAAAGGGGTCATGACCCACAGGTTGAGAACCGCTGTTCTAACTCTTGGTGACCTTATGTACAAGAGGACACAATACCACTGTGTTAGACCATGTTGACTAGAAAAACAAATCCAGTGACAATCAAATATGTATAAGAAAGAGCTTTATATCAAGAAGTAATCATATATCAAGAAAACATCCCAGCACAGTTCAAATCAAGCCCATAAGTCTGATGCTAGCCCCTAAGTCCCTCTTTAGACTCACACAGCCACATGCAATGGTGCAGAATGCAGGAAGATCACAGGCTGGTGGGTGCAAAGTTGTGTGGATCACTGGGCTCTGGCAGCCATCAGGGTCAGCCATCATGAAGGCAGAGAGAGGGGGGGGAGGGGTTCCTCCTTATGAGAGAGTGCCGCACCCACCCCACCCCCCACCAAGAGGCACCATCAGGCTGTGACCTGATTGACAGGTTGAGTTTCCACACCTACACTTTTATATATCCTCAAATTGATGTGAAATTATGTAACTACCACAACTACTCAAT